CTAGGAGAAGGGGGGAACAGGCTGAAGGTAGATGAAACAACGGGTATCTACTCTCCTGGTATCACCACAGGTGATTCTTCTGATGGGCAGCCAGGCAGGTTAAGACCTCTGTGTGAAACAGCTCAGCAGAGGAGCTGCAACTGTTGAGAAGATTAAGCCACCATTTTTGACAGGCTGTTGTTGGGTGCTGTTGAGTTGACTCCTACTCATAGCAACCCTATGTACAACCCAATGGAACACTGCCTTGTCATGTGCCATTTTCACAATCCTTGCTATACTTGAACCCATTGTTCTACGACTTGTCTGTCAGTTTGTTGTACTGTGGTGGTTTGCGTGTCGCTGTGAGGCTGGAGGCTATACCACCAGTATTTCAAATACCAGCAGGGTCACCCATGGTGGACAGTTTTCAGCAGAGCTTCCAGACTAAGACAGACTGTGAAGAAGGAAGGGGCCATCCACTTCTCATAAAATTGGCCAGTGAAAAACCTTATGAATAGCAGTGAAACGCTGATTTTTGACATGAGAGAAAAACAACTCTGCAAGGAAGACTGAGAGACAGAGCCAGGAGTAGATGGGAGAGTAGGGCCTCAGGAGCCAGCATGGTGAGGGTTTACAAGAAGTGAGAGGTCAACACAGTCAAAGTCCCAAGAAAAGAGAAGTGGAGTTCATGCGATAAAACTGGGCTTTGAGAGCTTGGCGGGGTTTGAAGGTGTAGAGAACAGATGAGTGAACAGGGTGGTCTTCCTGGCAGAAGGTCCAGCAAAAACAAACCTGTGGAGGCAGAAAAACATATAACATGATTTAGGAAGAGTACAGACAGACTGCATGCAAAAGAGATTTTTTGTTAGCCTTTCCTTAGCTTTCCATCTTGGAACCCAGAATGTCTGTCTTCATGTAAGAGTATAGCCATGATACAGACCAAAGTCAAACTCTATCTTCTTAAGGCAGCTAAGAAATTCTATTTCCTAGGGAGTTGTTCTGAAACAGGGTCCATGCCTTTCTTCCTGGGAACATCAAAGCACGTCCTTGAGGCCTTAGCAGAGTTTTGTGGATGTTCAGTATCCTGCCTTTTGTGGTAGTTGTTTGTGGCCATGTTTTACAGCCTGCCCCTCACTGAATGGTAGGGTCTTTCCACCTTTTCATTTCCACCCCACACCTCTGCAGAAAGAGGGGTTTCAGATAAGCCCAATTACCCCTTAGTGTTTGCGTGAAGTATAAAATGCTTAACCTGAAGGTAAAATCCCCCAGGGTAAGCGTTTCAGACACTGCAGGGAGGGATAGCTGAGGATACTGGTTGCCATGGAGTCGACGTGGACTCACGACGACCCTGTGTGTCACAGCAGAACTGCACTCCATAGGGTTTTCATGGCTGTGACCTTGCAGAAGCACATTGCCAGGTCTTTCTTTCAAGGTACCTCTGGGTGGGTTTGAACTGACAACCTTTCAGTTGGAGGAAAGTGCCTGTTTGTACCTCCCAAGGCCTGCAACTCAGGCTAAGGCCTAACCACCCCCCCTTAAGCTGCTGTCCCCAGCTATTGTTGTTGTTGTTGTTATGTGCCGTCGAGTCGGCCCCGACTCATAGCGACCCCTCCTTGGGTTTCC